AAGTAATTGGATACACCATCCCCTAATTTTCTCCTTCTTTCAAAAGATCACTTCTCCTTTCATATTTGAATCTTAGAATGTACCTGAGATAAAAATTAATCACATACCTTTATGACTTTTCCATGTGTTTATGCATTTAACAAATATTTGTTGTGCACCTACTAAGTGCTAGGTTCTGAAAATATACATGGAAACAAGACAATCATAATCCTTTCATGGAGCTTAAGGTGAGGTGTTCTTTAACACTGACTCCAGCAGTAACTGGAGTTTGCTGTCCATTATGTCTCCTTTGCATCCGATACAAAGAAAAAGTAAAATTCCTCACTTCCATGTAACTCATGAAGTACTCCTGCACAGGTTACTATGAGCTTGTGTTTCAAAACACAGCATTCAAAAAATGCTGCTCCATTTTTCCACACACCATTACACCACAGTGAGGTAGATTACTATATAACTACATTTATTCAGCTCTTACTACATTCTATTTACTGTGCTAAATGTTTTCATTTAATCCCTTCAACAATCCAGCATTTCTGTTTTAGATAGGAAAACGGAAGCACAGAGATGTTACGTGACTTGCCCAAAGTCACACACCCAGCAGGTGGAACTACTATTTGAATCCATGCAGTCTAACCCAAGAGTTCATGTGCCTAACCAGGAAGAATACAGGAAGTGGGAAGAAGTGGAAAGAGAGCTGTTACATTATGACGATTGCAACCAATTTCATGAAACAAAATGTGTATGAACTGCTGTGGTGAAAATTCTTTTCTGTGGTTTGGGGGACATAATTAGAAATGATTATTCATGACTGTCTAAAATGGTTTGCTGTATTTGAAAGTATTTTGAAAATTTACAAAAGGATATGAAAGTATAACTCAGATCATATCAGTGGCAGAAACAGGGTTGGAAGAACTCAATTTTATGTTACAGCTTACTCTCATGAAGAATATTTTAGGCCAGAGACATGCATAAAAGTACAGATCCAGAAAATTTGTGGTATAAATATTTTGATGACTTTTCGGAATTATGTGTTGATAGCCACTGTGTGTCTTTGGTGCTACAAAAACTGAAAGAAACAAAATCCCTGCTGTAAGGGCTTATAATAAAGACACAGTGTGGAGGTGAACCAACAATATTTTGCGTTTACGAGAAGGATTGGGCGATAGTACTA